GGGGAGGCGGAAAGGGGCTGGGGAGGGGGTGGAGGGGCTGCTGCCCTTGCCCACTGTCCCCCGGGCACGGCCGGGGCTGCAGCGCCCCGGGGTGCCCTCCTGCCGCCCGCCTCCCTGCCTGGCTTTCTCTCCCTCCCTCGGCCGGCAACCTCTCGTTAAACCCCAGCCTCTAAACGCCTGCTTCACGAGCCCTTCAACCATGGAGAGATCTTCCCTGAATAGAATCGTTAAACGTGCAGAATAGTTGCCGAATGCATTAGCCGCTGGTTAATATTAACTCCAGAAGGGGGGGAGAGAAAAAAAAAACAAAAACCCAACAAAAACCAACCAAAACCCAAAACGCAAACAGAGGGAGGTAAGTCAGGTTCTCAACTTTGCAGGTGACAACAGCAGTTTGCTGAACGCTTCCCTCTCCCTCCCCCCCATCCCCGCCATTGGCTGGATCCGGGGGGGAGATAAGGAGGCCAGGTCAGTATGATAAAGCTGGAATTTGTATTAAATAAAATAGCAATCTCGTGTAATGCAGGCACACAACCTGTGCGTGATGTGAGGAATTTAGAGATCAGCCTGGCGTTTAGGAAGCCCACCAGGTTGTTTACACTGACAGGTACCTGTTAAGTGTTTCCTTCAAGCAATTCATTTGTGAAGAGATTAGGAGCTGGCAGGAGAGGGCTTGTTGAACAACTTTGCCTCCACACAAAGCGTTAGTGGGGGCAGCCCTGCTGAGCTTCACGGTGGCTGAACAGAATTGGGCTTGATTTGTGGCACACGACCCAATGAATTAATAAATAGTCTGGGCTTCACGGCTTTTGACTCTGACAATCCAGCTCAGGCAGTATAAAAGGGAGGAAAGTCCTTTAGGAGGTCGTTTCTTCTTGATCTCGCTTGAAGCCAAGGAGCTGCTGCTGGCAGGGCCGGAGCGGCTTGAGCCCCGCACCGCTGCCCGCACCGCTGCCCGCACCGCTGCCCGGGGCAAGACACCGCCGTGCTGCGCGGTGTTGCCGCCTTATCAGTAGCTGAAACGTTTGATCCTTCGCCCCCTTGCCCCTGTAAATCAGTGCAGGAGCGTATCCATCCTTTCAGGTGTGCGGGGGGTGGGGATGGGGGGGGGGAAACAACAAACTTCCTTGTGCTGCTGCGCTTTGTTGCGGGGAACGATGCCGAAACCCAGACACCGGCTCTTTCTAGAAAAGTGTAGGCCAGAGAGTCCAAAGTGAGCTTACGATTGAGTTTTATATCTCTCGGGGACCTGTGTATTGCTGGAATTGCTGTTTGTGGCTGTTGATAGACAACATGGGAAGTTTCTTGTTGAGCAACCTTGTCACGTCCCTGCGAGAAGCGTCGTCGGGATAATGGGATGAGGGCTTTGCCTTTCTGGGAGCTGTGGAGAGAGGGCCTTTGCGGTCTGCTACTGGGCGTGCTGGGAGCACACTGGGGAGAATGGTCCCGCAGAAGGCCAAGCATCCCGGTCAGGCCAGCACAAGTGCGGGAAGAGCAGCTTTACTGCATCCCTCCTGGCTTCAATCCCCATCGATGTTTGTTTGCATCAAGCGAGCCACATCGTGCATAAGCCATGAGTTATTTTCATCTCAAAAAGGGGGTGCAAAAGTTGTCAGCGTGTGTGTTTCTAACTTTGTACCTTTAGTCAAGCGCTGATTTCGGTGCAGATTTTCTGTTTCTGGGGGGCTGCGAGTCTTTTTCCCGTGCCGTCGGCTTGTTTATCCCCCGCCTTAGCTAAAATAGGAGTCCCCCCAAACTTTCAGGGTTTCATTTAGAGCTCACCTCTCTCCACCGCTGCACCTCCCCTCCCCACACCCCGCCACCCTCATGTGCTCGGTCCCCGCAGGCCCCCGGTGCTGCCGGACACGCTTCAGCCCCGAGGAAGGCCGGCGGCTCGGGGGGAGTGATGGAAAACCCTGTAGTGCTTCTCCACAGAGTTAGAAAACGTTTCACTCCACACAAAGGATGTCCTAGCTTGCATAGCATCCCTGCTTCACTTAACTTCCCTCCTTGGCCCTCCCTTGCTTTTCATCTTCCCACTAAGAGTTATATTATTGTATGGATTTGCTCGGCTTTGTAGGCGAGCGCGGATGTATGTTTGAAGCGGGGTGAATGCTCCAACCCATGCTGCTCTGAGGGCTCTAATGAGTGATGGGCGATGGGAGAGAAAAAGAAAAAAAAACAACACCCCTCCCTCCCTCACATAAAAGCTGTTAACATGTATTGAGACCCCTTTCAACACGGAATTAAGCTGAAAAGACCCGGAGAGACATTCCGGGGGGGAAACCGTGACTCCGAGATATATGGCGAGTATTTGTTCTCGGCAGAAAGTTCGCTCTCGGGAAGGGGACAGGGCACTTAGAGGCAGGAATTTGCCCCGTGCAGGTGGCTTTGAACTGACACACTCACTCCCCGGTACGGGTGATGGGGCGGGGGCGTCCTCCTGCACTCGAAGGGTCCCCCTGCCCCTGCGGCAGGTGCCGGGGGAGGGGGCAGCTCCTTCCCGGTGGGTCTTCGTGGTGTTTAACCCCCTCTTCCTCCTGTGCCCACAAGTTTCATCCTCCTCCTCTTCACCTGCCCCCCCTGGCAGCAGGGGAGAAGATGCTCAGCGCTGGCTCAGCTCATCATGCTGAGAGCTTTGCGGGGAGGGGGGAGAGTGAGAAACACACACTACCGCAGACTCTTTGACTGGGGGGGGAGGGAGGACAGGATGCGGCCCTGGGGAGGGATGTGCAGGGTATAGATGGTGCAGGAGGGGGTCTGCTCCTGACTGAAGCAGT